ATAAATAAGTGGCGAATAAACTGTTGTCTCAGTTTTCAAATATTTCATTTTCCAACAGTTCGTTGGTTTGTCTACACACCGCGCCCCACACTTACGACGCTGATGTCAGCAAGATTAGATGCAAACGATGCTCGACGCTGATGGCTCATTTACCTTTTGAATAAAGCATTGATATTAGCCCACCCCAACGCTGACGCTTACACAGACCATCATTACGCATCGTTGGATCAAAAGAAGCATATACTTTAGTTATTTCTACCATAAATGTATGTAAATTAAAGAAGTTATTTACTTTGCTGAAAAATACAATATAAATTTACGGCTCTATAATCTCTATAATATAGTCTAAAACAAGAACTATAAATGATGGTCTAACAAAAACGATTCAATGTACTCAAAGTAGGACTTGGCTTCGCGTCTACCAATTTATAGTTGTCGATTCGAAGTCGATTTTATGTTACTAGATTTATTTTGATGACTACATAATTTTAAAATAATAATAAAACACTGAAGGAAAAACCAACTTTTTTTTTTATTAATTACGCCAAGGTAGTTAAGGTAAGTATTATACAGGTTGAGTCGCAGGAACCACTTGGTTTTGAAATAATAATAAAAATCTTTAGTTTTTAATCCAAGCAAAATGTATTAATACAATATCATACATAAGAACACGGCATTTTAATTTTAACCGACTTCAAAAAAGGAGAATTTTCTCAATTCTACCGTATTCTTCTTTTTTTTTGTATGTATGTTATGCGATAACTCCGTCATTTGTGAACCGAAATTGATGATTATTTTTTGGTCGGAAAGAGAGTGCCTCACTATTGGTCCTAAATGTAAATTTGAAGATAATATTCTACCTTTAAAGAATTCGATTTCATGCACTTTTCTGTAACCGATTTCAATAAAACTTGGCAAATACTCGTAGATGTAATGCCACGAACTTTTGAGGTCGTATTTTTAGTACTCTATACTGAGATTATAATAAATTTATTAATGAACGGAAAATTACATCTGACATGTGATGGCCATTTCCGTTGATACATAGTTGAAGTCGGCAAATAAAATTAATTTGAATTCCAGCAGGTCGCCGTCGATTTGAGTGATTTGGGGATTTCTCAAATCACGTGTCTTCGAGAGCAAGCCTCGTACTTTAGATGAATTAAAGAAAGCAATTCATTACCAAACTATTGTGTAATATACTAATTTTCATAGTTTTATTGGTAGTCCATTCAAACTTTCATTTCCTATTTCACTCTCTTTAAGATTTATTTATTTATTAATGAATACCAACTTACATCTTACAATTGACAAAAACAGGAAAATAAACTTATAGTCAATTACAGGTTCCCACCTATAGCTTCAGACAAATCAAACACGAGTATTAAACAAACGAACAATAAACAGTATTTGTTAAGGTTTAATCCTGTGGCAAAAAGGACATATTCCTTCTCCTAAGTCATATCTCTATACCAAAATTCATAAAAATTGGTTCAACGGTTTAAGTGTAACAGACAGAGTTACTTTCGCATTTATGATACTAGATTGGATTGATGTGTATGATACGTATATCAAACTCAAGACGCAATTAAAAGTGTATGAATCTTTTAAGTATAGAGGGATATTAAACTCCTTAAATCCAGAGAAAAGAACCTCAGAAATAAATAAGGATATATTTCTAAAGAGAAAATTCAATTGCAAGATAATTGGAGTACGTTTGTGGCAAGAATTCTCGTATTCATTATTGTAGCTGCATTCTCGAGAAGAATGACTCTAACGATTGCTGCCGGCGGTATTGAGACAGATTCTGCTCCCATCGGATTCGCTATTGGACCAATTGACTAAATTAGAAATGAAGAGAATCTGATAAACCTTTTTTATGACACCAAGTGATGTGACGAACAAGTTGTGCGCCTGATGGTAAGCAACACGTCTGTAAATAGAAGTCGCAGTGCCACACAGAGCTTCACTACAGCCTCAGTCACCCCGAGACGAAGTTGACAAGTCTCATGTGCCTGTAACTTCAACAGCACCCTGACCCCTTCAAGACCGGAACGAAGTAATGCTCACATTACGACTGGCGACAGAAATAGAGACAACTATATTGTAAATAATAAATCTAATATACATATAAATAGTTAGCCTGTGTATAGTCCCACTGCTGGGCACAGGTCTCCTCTCACAATAAGAGGGCTTGCGCGTTAGTTCCCACGCGGGCCTAATGCGGATTGGGAACTCACACACAATCATTAAATTGCTTTGCAGATGTAAGCAGGTTTCATCACGATGCTTTCCTTCACTAGAAATGATCATTATAGGTAAATTTCAAATCAAATTATGCACATAGATTCCGAAAACTCAGAGATGCAAGCCCGAATTCGAACCCAGGTTTTGAGTTACGCTGTTCCAGAGAAAATATTTTAAAGAAATGCTTTATTGTTCGTATTAATAATGAAACATTCTACAGGTATAATTCGTAATACAATTATAACTTAAATCTCGCTTCTATGCTAATGTTCTCTAGTACCTGTTTATAAGATAATGTCGAGATTACAAGTGGTCATTCGCCACCGCCGCTAGCGATGAGTCAACGGCCTGGCATCCCATCCACTCAACCTCAAATTATTCCTTTGCGTGTACTTTACAATTTCGTCATGGATGTTGAACCAATTGTTACAATAATTAGGCAATGACGACCACTTAAATATGGGATATCGTAACAAAGATAAAATAACAGCAATTTATCTGCAACTATAGAAGTCAAAGCTTACTTTTGTTATTGTTGCGTGTCTATGAGATGTTCTAATACACTTTTAAGAGACATTTTGTAGATATGTTACACCATAAGCTAAAAATGAAAAACCTTTCAAAGTCGATCTCTAGTCTCTAGGTACTCATAAACACAACGCGAACCTATAAATATAATATTTCTCAAAGTGAACCGTAAAAAAGTCATTTTCTAGGAACCGCGTGAAGTGCTCAATCAGGATAATAAAATAGATCGTGCCATTAAGGGAAATAGTAAACTGCACGTAGTCGTTGTAGGGACGCCAAGAAGAATAAAGGTTAGTGGCCGAGAGCCACTTGGTAAACGGGGCACGGCGCGGTCGCAGATTTTACTGCCATGTATATTGTCACACCGAGACTCTAATGCGTTGTCGTTGCTGACAACAATATACTCCCCAAGAGCGCCGGGCAATATCTTTATCCCATTTCCAGAAAGGCCCCTATAATATTTGCTAAAGCTATTATAGGGCATTATAAATGATAGTATATATAGTAATAAATATATTATACGTGTGATGCACTATAAGTTTCCGGAATTAATAAGAAAAAAATACTATAAAAGGTCAGAAATGAATTTATTGTTTCTCAAAATATTCTCTATATCTGAAATATATAACATGACAATATCTGAAACATATTTTTCATACTCTTCGACAACCTCTTCAGGTGATGGAAATCGGTGATCGCGTAACTGGTTCTTAATTTTTAGAAATAAATAAAAGTCACAAGGTGCCAGTACGGGACTGTACGCGGGATGGCTCGTAAGGTCAACATTGTTCACCTTTAAAAATTCATTTGTCTGTCTGACCGAATGAGAACTGGCATTATCCTGGTGCAAGTTGATACGGCGTTTACGGTCATTTTTACGGAGTTTGTCAATAACTTCCGGCAAATAAATGGTCGTGTACCAATCACTATTCACGGTACAACGATTTTTCAAAGCAACAGTAGCCACGTGTCCAGTTTTATTAAAAAAGAAGCAATCATCCGCTTAGATGCATTTTCCACGCGCGCCGCTTTGATTGGTTTCGGCTCATCTCGAAAGACCCATACACTTGATTGCTAGTTTGTTTTAAGATCGTAACTATAAATCCATATTTAGTCACCTGTTACTATGTCCCACACAAAATTTGACGCCCCTTCGCTGAATCTAGTAAGCATGGCATTGCAATTAGTCACGCGATCCGCTCAAACCTCAGTCAAATCGTGTGGGATCCACCGAGAGCACAGCTTTTTCACACCCAAATGTATGTGTAGTATTGATTATATTTGACTCATGCCTATGCCTAAAGATGCCCGAATCTCATGGTATGTCACATGCCTGTTTGTTTTGATCATACGCGCACCGCATCGATGTTTTTGTTGTTCACAGCAGTGGACGGGCGACCATTACAAAATTCGTCACTGAGATTCACAAGACCACGTTTGAATTCTGCAAACCAGCTATAAATAGACGTCTTGCATGGTGCTTCATCGCAAAAGCAGTGTGAAACCGAGCGAAGCTCCGCCGAGCTGTTAAATTACACTTAAAGTCGTAGAAAATCACACTACGAAAATTTTCACGAGTTAAATTCATGGTGATGTAGACAACCAATTCAATTCTAAAATTCTAAAATTCTAAAATGACTCCACAATGTACAAACAAGTGACAGTCAGATGAAACAAACTGTATTCTACATCCAAAGAGTTCCATTTTCAATATAATTATATAATCATAATTATAATTATATAATTACTTTTTAAATATTGTTTATGTAAGTGCCAGTTCCGGAAACTTATAGTGCGCGATATGTAGTAGAAGCATAGACACTAAATCAGACGTTATGTAAACTGTTAAAAGCCTACGAAATGTGAATCTATTGAAGTATATTCAAAATATCGTGGACGGATAGAGTCACGGATGACAACGTATTGCAGAGAAAACAGTAAAAAGGAGGAAACTGCAATACTTCATGCCCATAGTGGGGTGTGAAAAATACTTTCTACTGCAAATCCGAAAAATCTCACTAAAAAATTCGCCGCAAAAGACGTGGTCGTACAAAAACTAAATGTCTTCAAAATCTTGTAGAGTGGTTCAATGTGAGTACCACAAAACTTTTCCGAGCTACAACTTCACGAGTCCAGTATAAGTATCATATAATGATAGCCGACTTCCGGATAGAGATGGTACCCCAAATAGAAGAATAAATGATAGAATACAAATAGGTACTTACACTGTAGTACGAAGGCCGCCAGTTCAGCGGCGAGGTCAAAACTGACTGGTAAGCGCCCACGTAGTACATCTTGTTTCAGCTGCAGAAATAGCTGGTACCTATCAATATAATAGACAGGTTATTTTTTAAATTAAAACTTTAGATAATGCCTAATGAATTAAGTCCGCCATTTGTACTACTTTGTGTGCAATAAAATTTTTATTTGAAATAAATAACTAAAATAAAAATAAAAACCACCACCAGTCAAACGTGATCATGGGACCTGTAAAGGGCCTGAAACGTCGGTTTGTTTGAAAAAACAAATATACGCGATTTAAATCCGGAAAAATAGTTTCATTTCCTATAAAAATAAAAGTCAAAATTCTGAGTGTAATTATTATACCAGCGAAGATTTACCTAAGCGTTTCGAAAACAAAGTTCACTCGGGTTATCGAGTTTTAAAGTACAAGAACAATGCGAAACCATCAACACAACTTCAAAGTTCACAAAGGCGGCCTGCCAAAGGCATTCTTATGAAAGCTGAATAAGTATTTTAAGAAAAACGTGAAGATATTTAACTTATTTTATACTGATTTTCCCACTACCTAAAGAAAGGCTGACGTAAAGTATTTAAGGGATAACAGAAACTAATTAATAAAAGATCATCACGAAAATATTTCAAAAATGTTATGGGTAAGCTCTACTCTTTTTTTTTATATATATATTTAGGATAGATTTGGCCTAAAACCGGACCGCAATCACAAAATTTTAATAAAGTGTCGTAATTAACTCACGTCGTGGGACTTCGTTACCAGAATAATGACAAAAATGTACGGTTCACAATTTATAATTTTATATAAAATTGGATTTAGCTTTTGTTTTCAAAAATTACAAGAAAAAGAAATGTAGAAAAACTCAACTTGATTATCAAAAGTTAATAAGCGATAAATTTGGCAGTCCCAAGGACGAACGTGAATTGAAAACAAAATTAGTCGCATTAGGAGAAATTAGAAATTTAATTTAAAGGCGCCTACTTTCAAAAAATGGTATCCAATTAAAAGTATCTATGGGAAGAAAATTCTTTCTAACTCAAGGCTTGGCGTGTAGTCGAGAGTAGTATCGCTCGTCTGGCCATTCATTTCGTCAGAGCCACGTTCTGTTTATGCGCTCGCTGAGTTTACTACGAGGGCGCTAGCCCTTCTTTGTTCCTTTACTCAGCTTCTCTACGTTTTATGGTCGTGAAATTTTAACAGTTCGTAATAAAGTTAAAACGCTTTTGAATGATGAATTTATAGTCACATTTAAGCGCCAAACGCGTAGACTTGCAGCGTACATTAAAACCGCTAATTGAAAGCTATTTTAGTAAACTATGTTACTTAGTGGGAATGCATCTTATAAAGTTTTATATAGATTGTTACTTTACCATCCCTTAATTGTAGTATTCCCTCGGAAATTTTAACGATGTTTATAATTAATTATCACAACATGAGGCAATAACCACATGTGATAGTAATTATGTTAAAGTAAGTTTATTACATGAATGTATTATTGTATGGTGTGGTGGACACATAATGACGTTAGGGTGTATTATTGTTACGCGTGCAACTACCGCTTCCCATGATGCTATCGCGATAAGGGGAGAAGTGGGAGTGTGGGATCTATTTACTATAACCACTTGACATAAAAAATAAGAGAGAATCTGATACATTTAGCAGAGCGCAATAACCAATGAGTATTTTGTATTTTTTTTTAAGTTAAATAATATACGATCACTCTGAAATAGAAAAGAAAATGTGAAGAAAAAGAGAATATATATATCATAATAAAGTTCCACTTGTTTCCTCACGGACAGTACTTGTACGTATCTTTTTTTTATAATATCACGTGACGCGACGGACAATTCGTGGACCTGATGTTATTGTACACGCCAGTCCATAGCAGTTGCAGTGCCACTAAGAGCTTTAAATCGCAAAGACCTGGGGGGCATTACCACTGCGCCCGTCACCTGGAGACGTAAGTTGACAAGTCCCATGTGCCTTTAATTTCACCAGCTCTTAACCTTCAAACCGGAACGCATTAATGCTTCCATTATTGCTTGGCGGCAGAAATAGGTAATGCGGCAGTACTTCCCTGGACGAACCCTTTCAAATGGAGCTCCACTGCTTCTAAAAAAATATCCAATAATACAAGTTTATTTACGCAGGCCAGAGCGTCACTATCATAGAAATTTAGATCGTAGTTGCTTAACATTACATTTTCCCATTTGACATTATAAGTTGGTGGCTTAATACACTGCCATGCTTACAATATTGACAGTATGTTTGAAATATTTTTCAGACTTACTGTTCTTATCGTAGCATGGCAGTTCAGCCTGTAATATAGATACTGCTGACGCAGCACTGAATAGACGTATGTGGCACAGATGTGTTTTATTATCACTTCCTATCCTTCCCGGATCATATTAATGTTATATGAGACGCTATGAAAGCATTACGAACTCTGTCGAGTGTCGACACGTGCTATTCATTGGTTGTCACTGGATGTTATAAATCTAGATGTTTGTTTTTTACAACATTGCTGTCACTTCATGCTTAAAATTCCCACTTTACTAGTCCTTATAAAAGTATTTTTTACTCAGTTTGGGGGGTTGATATTGCTCGCTTCCGTAGGTTTACCCTCGAGACCTACAAATGACCCCTGAGTGGTGCTAAAGAGCAACAACTACTGGTACAACGGCTACGGCCGTGGCTGGTAACCACCCTCCCGACGCAGTCGAGTCGCCAAATGGCTTTCACCGTGTCCCGACTCGTGTTCGAGAGTTGCCAATAGGAGGTCGGGTCTGAACAGTTGCATTGCGTCTGACGACGAGATGTAGCTGCTTGTACTTCCACACTGAGCACTCGGTTCTGGAGGCTAGCGGGATCCGAAGCACGGTGCACCGCTGCCCGACTGTGGGAAGTTGGGGGCCCAAGTAGCGGAAAAGCCACCCGTGAAAGGCTGCCTCCGCCACTCAACGAAAAATCCCGGGACGCTCCACCTTGCCGGTTGGCGACAGGAGGGGAGGAACAGGTGGCCATCTGCGGGGGGGTTCGGGCGTCCCCGCGGTCTCCAAACCGATTGTACCCTCGTGTGGCAGTGTGAGCTTGCTGCTTAGTTGGACACGACGCAATGCTTCGTTCAACTACCTTCCTCCTGCCTATTCGCTTCTCCAATTTATCATGAAACACAAGAAAAGCATAAAATTTACACAGCACTTTCACGTCCTCCCACTAAAAGTGCACCTCACCTACATCCGAGGTCTGCACTCAAATCTAAATTCGGTCCACCAACATCTTGAAACCAATAAACCGCAGCTGCTGTTCCTCACCGAGACGCAGATCAGATGTCTGACTGACACGGCGCACCTCAGCTACCCAGGGTACACTCTGGAGTACAGGTTCCTACCTCGTGCCGGAGTCTGTGTGTACGTTCGTGATGACATCTGTGTCAAGCATCTCAAGAACCTTGAGGCACCGAGGTTCTCTGTTTTGTGTGGTTCTGGTTGACACAGGAATTACACAAATAGTATAGCGCTGTGTCTACAGCTCGTACAGTGGAGATCAGGACACTGTAACACGTTTTTTTGGTAGATCTCGTAAATTTAAAACAAAAACGAAATTTCTCTTCTCTCCCTGGTATTTTTCTTATTGTTTTCTTTTTCTTATTTTTCTTTTTTTTATATATTATATATATAAGCAAAAAAAAAAGTAGTATAACTAAGCTGTTCCAACATCTGAGCGAGACGTCTGATGAGGCTCAACTCAGGTATCCAGCGGCGCAACTAGTCATTGTGGGGGACTTTAATGAACACCATCAAGAATGGTTGTTCCCATACCAGATGACCGATCATGCTGAGAGAGACACGCGAAAATTTGCGCTGTCGCTAAGCTTTTCCCAGCTTGTCAGTGGCGCCCATAAATATAGAAAAAAAGGGCGTGGCACCACAAGGATCCCAGATGTTGAGTCTGCTAACAACTGCACCGTTGGGTACCTCTGACCACTGTCTGTTGAAAGCTGTATTCGTATACTCCCCGCCCGATCAGGGCCCCAGTGGTACGAGACGGGAGCGGCGATACAGGTTAGTAGATTGGGACGAAATGCGCCATTTTTTTACTTCATATCACGCTGACGCGCTTGCTTTACTTCAGGAGATTCGTCGAGCTGTGCTGATGCTGTAGTTGAGATCTTGCGATTGCGCATGGAGTATTATATACCATACTTAGATGTACCTAATGGACCCCAAGCTCGTCCATGGTTTAACGCTGATTGTAGTCGTGGTGAAGCTCAAAAACAGTCTGCGTACCAAGCTTGGGCAGATGCTCGACTACACAAAGCTCCTAATATTCAGAATCTGAAAAAAATCTTTAATAAAGCCGCCAAGAAGAGCAAAAGTGCGCCGCATAGGGACCAAGCACGCCTCTTTTCCAGCAGGCAGCAAGTCCTTTTGGTCTCTGGCCAAAGGGGTCGAAAAAAACTTTAGTAGCCACTCATTACCACCTCTGCTGAAGCCAGACGGCTCGCTGACCCATACTGCGGAAGAGTAGGCGAATCTCTTAGAAGTTAGAAGAGTTCATGTCTGGATGCCGCAGGATACCTACCACCTTTATCTCAAGCTGACTGCAATATGGCACGCAGTTCGCATACGTCAAAAAGAGGTACTCAGAACTCTGCGAAGTCTAGACGTGCATAAAGTTAGTGGGCCAGATGGAATTCCAATAATAGTCCTGCGTAACTGTGCACCTGAGTTGTCTCCTATTCTCACACGCCTGTATCGCCTTTCGCTTGAGACTGGTGTAGTTCCCAAGTCGTAGAAGCTTGCAAATGTGCAACCAGTACCTAAAAAAGGAAACAGCCGACGCTGTCAACTATAGACCTATCTCAGGCACTTCCATACTCTGCAAGACTATGAAACGTGTACTTAACAACCTCGTATCTTGAAGACAACGATCTCCTCATTGGTCACCAGTACGGATTCCGAAGAGGACGATCTACTGGGGAACTTCTTCTGTACGCCTCTCACTTATGGAACGAGACTATAGAAGGGCAGGGCGAAGCCATTGCAATGTCTTTAGATATTTCTAAGGCCTTTGACAGGGACTAGCATGCAAGCCTTTTTAAGCAAGCTTCCCTCTTATGGGCTTCCCACTGACCTTTGCAATTGAATTTCGGATTTCTTGAGTGAACGTTCGATTCTAGTGGTCTTAGAAGGCTACTCTTCCGAACATCGGGCGACAGATGCTCAGTTCCTAAGGGTTCTGTACTATCCGCAACCCTCTTTCTGCTGCATATATACAATATGTTTATTCCAAGTACCTTTGGGTATGCTAAAGACAGCTCAGTTGTGGACAGGCACTTCATCAATGCAAGGGTGAGTGGCGAAGAAATCTAGTCTAGTCGAGAGTCCATGGTTAGTCGTTTGAATTTGACACTTAAGGCAGTCTCTATTTGGGACGATGCCATTCTTGTCAAATTTAATGCTACCAAAACGCAGGCGTCTTTTCTCCACTAAACGGAGTCCCTTTCACCTGACTCCGACTTTTCGTGATACTCGTATATCCATACCGATAGCCGACCGTCTTCACCTACTTGGAATGGACCTGTCGTCCAATCTGAACTTCGGCAGATACATTGAATCCATGGTCAAAAATGCAGCCTAGAAGCTTGGCATCATTTCCAAGGTGAAGCGTTACTTTATACCGGGACAGCTTGGCACAGCTTAAGCAACTGCTTCAGCTGTGCCAAGCACAAGTCCGGTCGTGTATGGAGTACTGCTGCCATTTATGGGATGGCTCTGCTAAATACCAACTGGCAACCTTGGGTTCAGTAGATAAGCGTACTAAGAGGCTTACAGGTGACTGGGAATTAGTAGAGGCGAAGCTGCAGAGCCTTGAACACCACCGTAAAGTTGCCAGCTTATCGGTATTCTACAGGATATATCACGGAGAGAATGCGGTGGAATTGCATTGCAATTTGCAATTTGATTCCCCCTTCCCCTTTCTATCATCGGGAGACAAGATGTGGGCGAGGGTTCCATCCCTATGTTGTTGATATTCCCCGGATTCGCTCGAAGCGTTTCGCTTTCCACATTTGGATGGCAAACGGCTAGGGAGTGGAATTCCCCGCCTGCAGACTTGTTCCCTGAACGCTACAACTTGGACCTTTTCAAGACGAGAGTGAAGTGGCATTATTTAGGTCTGCATACTACATCTTCGGTCTCGTCGTCACTTTCCACCAGGTGAGATGGATGTCAAATACGCACTTACTTCTTATAAAAAAGAAAAAAGGAAAAAAATGTAATAAAATAATGAGTTGGTCAAAATATAAAAAAAAAAAGATCAAAAATGTTTTTGCCCCTAACAAAAACGAAAAAAAATTGTTTTCCTTTTACAATGTGATGTTAATGGTCATTTTAAAAATTACATTTTAGCGCGCATTTTAAGTATGTGAGAAAGTTTTACGCTCATAATTAATGAAAAACGCCCAGGACTGGTTAATCGTAAAGGTGTCGTATATCATTATAATAAAGCCAAACCACACATATTTTAAAAAGCCATCAAAAACTGTTACAGCTAGGTTAGGATGTGTTACCTCATCCAACATATTCATCCGACATATCCCTGTACAGATTTTTACTTGTTCTTTTGTGTCTGTTTCTGTTGTCTTTACAAATTTCTGACGACTTTGATAACGAAGAGATCATCAAAAGATCCCTTTGATCTGTATTTTATAAAAAAGATAAGACTTATTGTGAAAGGGAAATTCGAAAATTACCTGAAAGATGGCAAAAAAGTTAGTTAAATTTATTAATACATTTTAAATGTTTTTTATTTATATTATGGTATAAAAAATTATGCATATAAGAAAAATGGCTCACTGAAAGAGAACCCGGTAAAAATAATTCTTTTCTCAACTTGTTATAAAACAAATAAAATGTTATTAGAAAGTTAAACGAGGTCACTAATTTAAATTTCACATTTGATTTTACTGTATCTCATTATAAGAAAACAAAATTCGGAAAATGATCATTACGCCTGGATACTGGTCACTGGGAATGAGCTGTACTTACTCTATTTAAAACGGGTTTGGGTAAACGATGTACAATCAGCACGGACCAACTTAATTGTATAAATATTGGGCTCAGACGTAAGTCAACTTCGAGTGTGTCAAATTATATGTTGAAAATTTGTACTTCACATTAGTTTGTATAGCGTATATATCATATCAGTTCTTAGATCTTCTAAAGCTTTTACGGCATTACAAATTCAAATTAAATTTTACATTTGTCGTACCTTTGGTTTTTGAATCAGCCATTAATTGTACACGACACCACTAACATTTACTTTTTGAATTAGCATGTACCGTCATCCTAGCGCTACTTTATTGTTACTTCTGGTGTATTAAACGCAAGCAAAAACATATTTTCAGTATTATAACCTGAATATTGATTATCCTAGTTAGGACAATACATAATTACAGTAGTAATAGTAGCTACAAAGTGATGGTATAGATTGCGAAAATATTTAGGATCTAAAATTATAAAAACTGCTCTAACACTACGTCGAGTTCTTAGGTATTCGCAATTGTTGCTCATTGGGGATGAAACTATTTTTGGATATAAATCGAATATATTTGTTTTTTTTTTTTTCAACAAACCAACGTTTCGTAGTCATTTTGTCACATGGTCGCTATATGACTGCCGCATGGAACCCGTAAAATGCCCGCAACATTGGTTCGGCTCGTAACAAATATACGCGATTTAGAACCGAAAAACTAGAGTCATTTCTAACGTACCTTGTAATTTCTTCTAGCAGTTTGCACGGGTCGGCTGCATAGAACTTGACACCAAAGTAGAAGGTGTGAGAGTCAGAACCACGAAGTTGACGTTTCAGCTTTTTCCCCGCATCCAACCAGTGCTATGTAGAAAAACAAAAAAGTCCATTTCACTATTTGATAACTCACGCGTTTACCAGCAACCGATGCTTTCTGATGCGCAGAAAACAATATTAATAGAAACAATAATAACAAAGGAAAATACAAACACAACAATGAAATGAACAACAAAAACAACTACAAGAACTGTATTTTATTTTATTCAACTGAGTAATTGAGAATTATTGTTATATTACTAATATAAAGTGTATTGTTTGATTAGTGTTGATTAATACGCAAGTTTACTGACCAAAATATAAACTTATAATCTTTAATCTTTAGAGCAAAAACAACTAACAGCAACATCAACCCATTTATACATCCCTGTACTGGGCACGAGTCTACTCTCAGGCGAGGGTTTGGGCCATGAACATTTAGGTAAATCTTCTTCGACGTGTATCGTTTCATGACAATGTTTTTTGCTCATAGTAAATTTTAAATTAAATTTCAGGTATAAGTATCGAAAACCTTAGCAGTGTGACCTCGGATTCCAACTTTCAGACTCTACTTTATAGGCGATAGATCAAACCTTTAGGCTGCCACGGTTTTCTAGAGCAAAAAACTTGTAGACACATTTTTACTAATTGTTAAAACCAGTTAGTCCAAGAGCGAGTCTTAGTGACGGCTTAGAATTTTATAACAGGAAAGTCTACTTTTACTCGGGTCAAGACGTTTACATACTAGAAAACAAGAAAGTTAGCACTGCAAAATCGACGTTGTCAATTTTATTGCCGATTACATTCTAAACACTATCACGTCTGGCTCCCACAGTGGTTAGCACCCCCTACGCTTTTGACGTACCTCTTCCTTACTCCACCCGCATCAGTCTTCACACACGTTCGTTTATCCTTATTACTTTTGACTTGGCCTTCTTTAATGACTTCGAGTACTTTTTTGAGAAAAACGTTTATATTATTACAAACAATTTTGTAATTTTTACTAATTTTAATTTTTTTATGTAATATCAAGTGACGGGACGAACAAGTTATGCGCCTGATTGATGAAAGACCTAAGTAGAGTTCCTTTATTAACTGCCACTGAGGCCGAACGTCTGCCACGCAGAGAAGTCCCAGATTCGATTCCCGGGCCGGGAGAAATATTTGTATTGCCTACATTTGTTTCTCTCGAAAGTTTGGGTGTGTTTTGTGGTGTGTAGACACCCGTCTATGACACCCGCGGTACAGGGTTTCCCTAGTGCGAGGCTGTGAATGTATGTAAAAATATAGTAACACCGTCGTAAGCATGTACTATTAAATGCTGTAAAAGCCCCTATGCAAAAGCACACAGCACACTTTATTATTTCTTTTTAGTATTTTGAAGAACATGTAGAAGTTGGCCTGTGATGGTCTTCACTCTACCACTGGAGAAAAGTGCGAACTGAAGGCTAACCCTTTTAGCATACAATACTATTGGCTCTATGAAGAGGTCCCCGGTTCGAATCCCGGATCAATTTGGGGAAATTATTTTCTAATTTATTTTCTAAATTGGTTTTAGTTCGGGTGTTAAGCGTATTACTCTCGTTAATTTCGTTGCTAAGGTCCTCATAAGCACAGCGAGTTATCTAGTTTGACGTGGTTATTATTATTTAGTAGTATTAAGCACTTGATAATAGTTCATTACTCCATGTTAATACTCCAATAGCGCGCTATAATCCAGTGGGGATGAGGATTAAAATCTGTATGGCAAAATTTCAATTATTTTTTTAAAACCATCTTCGGTGGAAATGGTCTGGATTGAAGAGGACGGGCGAGCCTGGAATTGAAATATTTGTTGATGTAATATTGAACTGTATTGCTGCTCACATAGAGTATTATATTTTGTAACGGAAACAAAATTTCTCGCGCGAGCTCGCTAGTGTCCGCACGGTCTCGCGCTAGCTCGCGATGGCTATTACTACCGATCGCGAGATTGTGGGATACGTACGATTTCAGATTTAAAGAAGATGGCTTCATTTGATTCGTCTTCAGTTAATATATGGATTACATAGGGATATGTTGCTTCAGCCGCGTGTTTATCGCTAGGCGAACTGAACAACACTGAATCTATACTATACTATATGGTTATAGCGCGAGCTACTACGATAATTTTTGATGGAAATAGGCCGGCAAGTTTTCAATTCTCGTCTCGCCCCATCTCTTCTCGTTTTGCCGATTGAAAAGCACCTTAACACCCCCTAGCGGTAAAATGTTAAACTTATTATGCTCACTATTTTGGTAGTTTTGAACGAAGTGAAGCTATTCAAATAAACTTTTCTTACAGTTTGATTTTCCTGGTCAACGTATCGCAGTCCAAAGTACGCCGTCTCCAGCAGATCCAAATGTCTGAAGACCACATCCAAAAGCGCCTGCCCCGTGTTGTTGTCCTGTAAACAATAGCTCGTTAATGGAACCAGCAAATCAATAGTAATCATTATGACCATTAATTGAGCTGCTATTCAATGTTAATGTTTACACAAGGCATAATATTAGGAGAGTGTCGGGAATATAGGGAATAATAAATAATAAATAATATAGGGAATTGTGTCACAGAACGATTTTGATTACGCATAATGCACTTTGCGATACATATACTGTCTAATATACATATAAAAAGTGCAAATACTTTTAAAGGTTTGTTTCTTACGGCAAACAGGGAAAAAAATTAAATTCGACAATAATTTAATTTATAAATCATTTTTTTAAATTATATTTATTTTAAATTAATTAAAAATTTCTTTTACTTTAATTAAACTTCTTTTACTGTCAGTGCAGCTCGTATGTGGAATAAATTACCAGCTAGTATTCGTGACAGTCCATCGGTTGCAATATTCAAACGCAAATTATATGAGCACTTACTTTTACACTCAGAAGTTAATCGGTGAAATAAATACAGACTAATAATAATTTGTTTAGATTTTAGTATAAATATATATATATATATATATATATATATATATATATATATATATATATATATGGATATATTTATTTATGTAAAGTTTATGTAGGTATATATATTTTTTATTTATATTGTCTTCATTAATATTTATTTGTATTTAGAGGTATATTTCTTAAATTTATTGTACAATTTCATCCCGCTGACTTGCTTTATTCACCACGGCTAGGGTTGGCTGGAAGAGATCTCTTCTAGAGATAAGCTCACCTTTGTGTACAACCTTTCTAATATGTAATTATCCATGTAATTTATTTGTGCAATAAAGAATATTATTAAAAATTAATTTAATTCACGAAACAAAAGTAAATAAATACTTATATTTCCGAACTACATTTTTTCAACAATAAATCGCACTCATAGATTTAGTATTATGTACTAAATCTGTGGTCGCACTTAAATTACGATTGTCAAAATACTTATTTTTTCTTTTTCTTCGAAATTTCGTCATACGATCGCCAATAGTTTGTTTCCGAAAGCAGGTAATTTTTTTTTTCAATAAATTTTATACATGTTTTCCTTTTGCGATAAGCGTTTCAGTCACAGACAAGGTTTTGACTGCAAAATGAATACTTAATGAATACTTTACAACATAAAATGGAAATTTAGTAACGGATAATCCCCTTTCGTATTGAATGAGAGAAAAGAATCAGGGGACGAAATATGAGATATAAACTTGAACAATAATAATAACAAAGAACATGTTTATATATAGGAGAAACGTTATGATATACAACAGTGAAACTCTGTTGTATTTTTTGTTTTTGTGATTTCTCTGGGTTAACGATTAAAATGAAGATAGAATTTCGATATTTGTTCTAACTATTTTGTTTATTTTTATTATCACGTATTCAGTATCTGTTTCCACATTGTATAACAATAGTTCCGACAACGAGGTTATTATCGTAACAAAATGAAAAGAAAATATTACTCCAGCCTTTCAGAAAAACATGTTTGTTCTTATTAAATTTTCTAAGAGAAAATTACATCTTCGCCTAAGGCGTGTCAAAAGTATTTGTTAACGCGCCTTCAAAAGAATACCCTTTATCAATTCATTTTACTTAAGATTTTCTTTGAAATAAGTCTTTCATAAATCAAAACGTTGTTTAACAACGTAGAGTACCTATAATATAAAGTGATAAACTGTAAAATACATACAATTCCAAGAAAGTTTGTTAATTGTTTATTTATATTAATTTATGTTATCAAATATAGTAATAGAAGATAAAAAAAACTTTAATTTCCAATCAAGCTTATTGGTAAGGGCATAAAATATATGAGTTTATACACAAACGTGATAATTGTACGAAAAGATAGCCATGAACATTGGCGAGCAAATTAATCGCTCACGGAGGCAAAATAGTATCTCCATTAGCATTTCTCGATGCTTTCCACAATTAGGCTAATTCGCACGCGATAGCCAGAGCCCGGTAATACCAGTAGTCGACAGTGATGTTGTATTGGCACAATAATGAGTGGGTGCCGGCGGGCGCACCACAGCGCAGCTCTCACGCGCGTCTGATGGCCATAAATACTACCGCTTGCGTGCGTCTGCGCGTGACATGATAACTACACACTACTCGCTGCATCGGTATATTTCCAAAAACAATGACTACTATACAGAAAATTTGAAAATTTTTAAGGGATACTTTTTTTATAAGATATGTACTATTTTTTTTTTGTAAGATGTACATTTTCGACTAATTAATTACATTATGTAAAGAAACAGCTAATATAACTGTGTATAAAATGAATATTTGAATGAATGGGCGAACAAGATGTCCCTGGTGGTAACCGACACGCCTTTCAATAAAAGTTACTGTGCCATTCAGAGCTTTAAACCACGAGGCACTGCCACTGCGCCCGTCATCTTGAGACATAAGTTGACAAGTCCTATGTGCCTGTAGTTTCACCAGCACCCTTACTCTTCAGAAACCTGAACGCAATAGTGCTCAAATTACTGCTAGGCGGCAGAAATAGGTAGGTAAAGTAACTTATAACATTTAGGGGTACAGTGAAAGCACCTGCCTTAAATTGATTAAAATTCGAACGTTTATTGTATCACTAATTAATTCCAATTACCGCGTAGATATGCCTAAACGTAATCAGCCTGCAATTTGCAAGTTATACAGTCGCAGTTGATGATATACAAAGCAAGTGCTTAGGGTAAATTGCAATTGGTAAATGAGCGTGTGTCGAACCGAGAGTATCACTGTAAGTGTAGGTATATTAAATATGTCTGTACAGCCTCCACCGCTTGTGGGAAAATTGCGAAACAGTTCGTTGGGCTGAATAATAAATGATTTAATAACAGACCGCGTTTGCTCCCATCGGCGTATACGGCACGAAAAAATAACAAATGACTTCAAAATCTGGCGATGGTTGTATGTGCACGCGATCTCTCTTCTGTTCACGGCGCCGCACCGGTACGTCACACGACGTACCAGTATACCTATATATAGGTGTAACATGAATGATATAGTATTGGTCAGTAGTACTGTAATATAAAGTATATAATCTTAGCTTTTATTAGGAAGGTTGATCGCCGATGGAGCAGACTTGTTCTGAAATGGCGATCACGTTAAGGAAAACGTAGTGTGGGCCCTGCGGCAAGATGGACGGACGACCTGAGCAAGGTGGCCGGCAGTGGCTAGATGCGGGCGGCACAAGACCGGGAGAGTTCGCGTGTTCAAAGGGAGGCTTATGTCTAGCAGTGGATGTTTTTGTAAGCTGATAATGATGATGAATCTTAGTTTGAGATAATCCAAACTAAAAATTCTGAAGGTTCTGTTGTCTGACACCCTACTACATAATGTACAAACACAAAATGATAATAAATAATGTTGTCCTAATATCAATACACCAGATTTTCCAAAGAATCAGGTTATATAAAATACTAATTAAGATATTCGTAGCATGAGTAAAATAATGGTGATGTTACGCAGGAAAAAGGTACCGTCAATAAATAGAACAAGGCCCGGAGTGCACCTCGGCGTGCGGTAGACCGTGAAATGCTGTCGACTCAATTTACGCCGAGACACTACACGACAATGACAACCAGCACTAGGCTTGCTTTATAAATTGCTGAACAACTCCTTGCTGTCGCCTTCTCAGTATTTGAGTCAAATAAAACGTCGCTGAATGGTGAAAATTCAACATAACTCCATATGGCGACAATGTTGTCTCACACAGTACGAATAAAAAACTTCGTGTTATTTTGCATTTTCAGAGAATTTCTTCCATTACGATTCGAAGAAAATGGCGTAGACATTAGATGTAGATTAGAGTAATATTAAATAAATCAATGCTCTTATTTAACGGTCAACTCGTGCGGCAAGATCACTCGACCGGCTCATCTATAATCTTCTGTAATAAACGTAATAAGAGCACAAGCTCAACCAATTACTGGCCCCGGAATCTTTAAAATCGAAGATGAAGGCTCATCAGTTAACAGTCAATCTGAATTTCCTGTAAGGATTATACCCCTCGAATTTTTTTTTTAATTATACCAAGTGACGGGACGAACAAATCGTGGGCCCGCCGTTTATCCCGGGATGTGTTTGCGTCTTATTGCATTATATTTTCACAATTTTTCTAATTATTTAGTTCAAAGTTGCAATAGAATAGACGTCCAAAAGAAAACTATCAGCTTATATTATCTTTACTCGTCTGCGGTTGCTGAGTTGAGGAAAACTAAAACAAGTTGGTAAAATGATAAATCCAGCTATTTTGGTAATAGGGAAGAAGAAAAGTTTTCGGTAGATCCATTCAAGACAAATGTCCCTTTGTAGATAGAGAAACTGCGAGGAAAGGGCGCCGATTTATCTAAAATATCCATACCATTTCGCGGAAAACGTCGAACTCTCGTCGCCTCCACTTTACCTAAATTGGACGATTCTAGCCCTAATATATCTTGGGAATTTGTGTGACGAACAAGTTGCGGAGCTTACCAGAGCGGCAAACAAAGGCGGCGGGGACAAATTCCGTTGTTGTTTACGGTTATGACGCGGAGTTTGTAAGTATATCTGAATGAATGCGGATTCGTTCGAAGCCAGCGGACTTATACTCGTATGTTTTCAAGTTTGCGGGAATTTTCGAGATAATAGAGATTGTGTGTGAGGTCGACGGCGGCCATTATTCTCCGGCGAGCGCTAGCGTGGGTGTTAGTGGAAAAGATACTGCGCTGTTCTTTCAACAAGTTTCAACGAGGTTCCCTTTGCGGAATTAATTCAATATCAAGACGAAACTTCGATATTTAATAAACTGCCGTACATAATAGCGTCAATTTATATTTGTACAAAATTATTATAAACTGTCATTAATCGAATTTTCAATTTTTCTTGTATTAAAAAAAAAGTATGTGTCTAAACACAGGCAATACTTATCCAGTTAATTATATTATTTATAATTAATAATTGGGTAACTAAATTCGCAAACCCGATAATATTATTCAATCTCATCTTAACCCTCGAAATATCAACTGAGACCCCTAGAAACACAATTTGACTAACTTGAAATCTACAAAGCATAGACACATGTTTAAAACGGAACTAGCGTGAGTCGGTGTACCGGTACCGGTGGCAGAACTGCCCTTGTCCGGGCCGTGAAGCGGCGTCTCCTCACCGGTAAACTCTACCCATGTAGAAACGATCACACATTCACCGGGCGGCGACAATACCAGCCAAATAGAATTTAATATTCATAGAGTCGACGTACGATTCAGTGAATTCATCCGCACCTTAGACCCGAGCCTCGCATATATAAGACCTTCGAGCCCCTGGGTGTACTTCAAATAATTCGTCTCGGAATAGCTGCACTTCTAAAGTAAGGATTGAGAAAAAAAAAGGGAAACCCACACTTTTGTTCTACACTAGAAAAATGGAAAATTCCGTTAACAACTCGCTTGGAGAACTGCTACGGCAACTGAGGTTGATTTTGGTTATAATTCTTGATCGACGTCTCACAAGAAACATATCAAAAGTTATACTGAAAAAATATGTTGATATGTGCTCCTGTCATCCCCCTGTAGTTTACCTTTTTATAATACAGTTTAGCCTGTCTATGCATTACGACAACTCTTCTGATATAAAGTCATCTATCATTAATGTATCATATTTAAGGCTGTTTTCCCCTTCCACGATGCAACCACTCAAACGAGATCGCTTAACGGAATTTTTGCATACTGAGAAAGGAAATATAATAAAATAATAAAAAGTCGCCACTTTCTGTGAATAACCTACAGGTGAAATAAATGGATTCGTAATATGTACAGCTTAGTGTAAGCTTAGTAGTAGTATATTGGGAAATGTTTATGTATTCAACAGTGACACTTATGAATAATACCTGTATCTCATGCAGGAGTTCCCGTTCGTCGAGCAGTACGACTCGGCAAGCCAGCGTGCGCGTCGCGGGACACAGGCAGTCCATCATCCTGCCGACCGTGCCTCCTCACGCCTGTAAACAAACCAGATATTCATATTCACATTCTTTATTTGCAGGTCACATGATTATAAAAGAGGTGTTCTTAAGCTAATGTAGATACATGGCATGTAACACTGCAAAATGTTGAGGGCACGAAGTCCTTAATTATTTTTTTAATAAGTGCTCATTTGACCTCCATTTCACCTGATGGAAAGTGATGATGAGGTCGACGATGTAGCATGCACACCTAAATAATGCCTATTCACTCTCGCCTTGAAAAGGTCCAAGTTATAGTGTTCGGGGAATACGTCCACGGGCAGGGAACTCCACTCTCTAGCCGCTCTCCATATAATTACATTATAAAAATGAAAATCATAATTATTTAGTGACAAAAATAAATATAAATTTAAGTTATATCAACATTAAATAGAATTCAGTAACATTAAAGTCTCATTCCTAATATAATCGATAGTAATGGGTACGTAGTAATAGGTATAACCTGTGGGTAGAACTGTATACGAAAATTAAATAATTAAACATAACATTCACATTTTATAATTTTTTTTATATAAAGGTCATATTATATAACAATCATTTCATATATTGCCAATTTAGATAATTTTTACGTAGTATAATATCACTTTTCATAAATAATAAGTTTAAACCGCCATGGTACTTGTCTGTTCAATACTTGGAGTGTAATTTAAAAGCCGGAGGCGCGGAGGGAGAGTTGCTTTCCTTAATATAGTTCACAATGCTGAATTTTCATTTCAACAAAATTATTATTGTTAGATACTGGATTACTCGGTGGTTTAAATAAAATAAACGTAATTTATATAGGTCAAATCCTGGTTGCAGCTCCCATTCAGTAGGTTAGTTTAGGTTAGAACATGAAAATGCAGCACGAGCTGAGCGAGCGGAGAGAGCGTAGCGAGCGTACCGCGGCAGCGGCCGGCGAGTGCCAGAAACGAAGTTGTTTGTGTTTCCAAACGTGTTTTCAGGCCAAATTATAATTAGTATAACATTAGTTATAGGAATCGTTTTTCGGAAATAATCCTATTTGTAGATGAAATGAAATTTAGATAAAATGACGATATGTTAACTATGGTTTATAACTTATGATCGTTATAAAAAATTTAATTATAGAATGTAAGTTTATATTAAACGTTCGTTATATGAAGCGAATTACTATATTAAATAAGTTTATAAAGGAAGTAAAATTATACCAATTGAGCGTTACGTGAATAATATTTATAATAATACGATACACACACCCAATAGTAATATGTGTATCGTTTATGGTTTACGTGATTTATTGCAAGTCAATAAATTAAGCACAAAGTAAGCTAAGTAGTAAATTTAAATGCCGCAATTTATTCAGTAAAGTTGATCCTCAGACTTCCAATTTATCTAGACTAGGTGCATTAAGCTACCTGCCTCCAAATTATGTAGTTTCGTCTTCACTCACGAGCTCTCTTCCGGTCTGCCTCAATTATGCAGGTATCCTAAAATGAGGTAGGTAACCTTTATATTCTACCCACAAAGCGTGAAGTTGTTTGAAGTCAATTACGAAGTTATTTGCAGTCAGACTCAATAGTAAAATCATTAAAGGGTTGGTGGAAACCAAATATATCCTCGTTAAAAGTTAGACGGGAGAGAGCGAAAATCGAGTCTGTTTTAACAATTTTATTTTAATTAGCAACAGAGCGCTCCCCTATAGGCGGATTCGAGTTCGGCAAAACTTTTCATTCAGAGCTCGGAATCTGCAAAATATTTTGAGTACATTCGGGCTTTCCATTTTAATTCTTTCAATAGGTGATGCCACTTATTTAGTTCGAATGAATGTTACGAATTTAGTTATTTTACTTGTATGTCAGCTGAAATAAAATAATATTATTTGCGGAAAATAAAAATCTCACATAACATATACAAATCACAATTTCATATTTGTTGCAGATGCCGCTCTTCTGTACCGTCCAACTTGCGGGGTGAGATAAATTTTCCCACACTGTCCACTTTTCGACTCGACCAAGGGCCCTCAGGGCATGGACTCGATGACTTTTAATTTTCACTGTTTCCCAATACGCCCCGCCTTTTGTTTCGTTGTATTGTTGTGATTTTCGAATCGGCCGAAAACAATTGACGGCTGCAATGTTGCATTTTTCACAATGTTTGCTCATTTTAATTGAAAAATTAATCAACACACAGGGAACATAATAGGACATAAAAAGCTTTTGGCGTTTATTGTAAATTTCCATTAAAATTAAATGTAACTTCCAGCGCATAGCTGGCATAACAACGGCTTTTCGAATTAATCGAAATACGGTAGTAAGACGCCATATTTATAAACAATCCAGGATTAAAAGAAATGACACGCAATGAAAAGTAAATACCGGCATAAAACATTGTTAATGCGCCGCATTGCAAAACTTCTAACAATCAGAGCGACCACGAACTTTTAGGAACAAACAACGTTGATGGCAATGCGAACCATTAATCCAAACGATCCCGGCAGAGATTAGTGCTTCAGCTATTGACCCCTACCCCGCACCTCCGTGTCCACACGTAGATAACATTTACCCGCCATTGTCTGCAGAAAGCAAAAAGAGGAGCCGCGATTGACATTCGAGTCCCTGACGTGATCGGGACGAGCTGGGACCCACTCCCTCTTGCAACTTTTTTCCTTTTGTTAGTTTCAGATGATGCACACAAGAGGGAAAATTACGGATATAGTAGTCGGTATCGGTATAATATACTCACAAGCTACCTGCGATAGCATCTTAATTTCTGTGAATTTATCGCTCCTTTTCTCACGTACAAACTTTTCCCATGTTCATCAAGACTAAGATAATGAAACGGTACCTATAATGACTTATTTTATCATCGTTTACGTTTCTTCATTATGACTCGTAAAACGCTCGAGTTACTATAATAGTGATGACAAGAACCGTAAGATACGCAGATAATAGAAACTAATAATATTGTTTTCCAACAACTGCACTAATAATTATCTAAAAAAGGTGTCAGTAATGTATTACTTTCATGTCGTTTTATAATTTAGTCATCACACTTTGAAGTATAAAAACATATTACAAAAATATCACAATGGATAGAAGCATTCTAGGAACACCTTTTGACTGCCATTCGAGGAACCAGCTAGACTGTCGGCAATTACCATGTTGTTAGTGGCGAGACTACTGGTTGATTTACACTTGCATTCGGATCGTGTAGTCATTTTGTGGTTTTGAACGGATTATGGCGGGCCTTCGGATACAGCTGGTGCACTCCATAAAATATAAGTCAGAGACCTTATTAGTCGCCGAAGTCTAATTCACAGCATAAAAAAGATCAAATGGACACGGAGAAATGGCAATGTAATATCTTTCATTTTTCAAGAAAAGTTTTAAAATAAACTTGATTTGGAAAAATGCCAAAATGAAAAATTCAACATGGAGATATTTCTATGGAATAAATCGTATGGTTATTACAGTCGTATATATGAGAATTGTGGAGGCAAACGGACGCTGGCACATGCCTGCGCGCGCGCTACATGCATAATGATAGAGACGCGTGATCGATACCGCGACACTAAAATCGACTGTTTTAAATGTTGCAATTTGTCTTCCCCAGGTGTGTATTTAATACGTTTAATATTTATAACTGTTTATTTTTGTTTGAAATGTAACTATTAGTTTTATATTATTATAGGTTTTGTATCTACAGGAAATGAAAATAGTTTGATATACAACTGTCTAGGATTACGCAATTAGTTTTAGAAACAAGAAGATAATAAATATTTGTATCGCCATCCGTTTGATCAACGAAACGTGAGTATTGCATGACTGCACCGTTTTAACTAAGTGATAAGATGCACCGAAATTACTTTCAGCGTGAATTTTCAGTTCGTTGGCTATTATTTACAACGTAAATTACAAATTGTACTCCATCTTCCCAGTTACTGAAATTTGATTATTTTTTGTAGATTACAAACCTTGCATATTATTCAAACTGTATGGAAACTCATATTTAAATTTAAAGGAGTAAAACGCATCCCTAATTCATTGATGCCTGACATTGTAAGACCTCACGGGCATGACGTTCGTTCCTTCTTCGAACCTGCAAGATGTAGAATGCCCTCCTTTCTGAAGTATTTCCTTTGCGTTATGACATAGCGATGCCTTACTTTCTCAAAACTCATATCTTATAAAGAGTGATTATTCAGGAGATGGCAAAAATTTCAATTTATTTATAATTTCTTATCAAGGGTTTGGATGCATTACTTTACGAGTAAGTAAAAGCCAGTGTGTGATATATAAAGGAAATGTGACGTGAAATCAGCCTGCAAAATTTGTATATACAATTACATTTCAGTAACTTTGTGCTTTAACGTACGAGTTTGAGAAAGTAAGGCGACGATAGGGTTCTTCGTAAAGCGTGTCAATAGGGTTCTCAAAGGCTGGCAACGAATAGGCAGCTCATCTGATATTACAGATGTCCATGGGTGATGATGACTACGTCTTTTGACCTACCAACAATTACGTCTCATCAAGTGGCCCGTCTGTTCGTCTATCTACTACTTTACTTTTTTTTTTAAATCCTACCAATTTACGACTTGAGTCATAACAATGATGCGAAATCCGATTGTTCAAAGTTTTTAATTTGATAGAAACTATAATGTAGCAACGTATATATAATAACCAATTATGTCTTTAGTCGTAAATCTTTTTGTAAAAAATGTTACTTACTTTTGCTTGAATCGCAAAATTAGTTTGGCGCAATACGTTTTCCTATTAAGTGAAATGAGCCAAAACGAATTTTATACGAACATGCCAGACCGTTCGTGAGCTGCATGCGCGATTTTTGTACACACGAACTATATACAAATTAAACATGGTAATTGTTTTAGGCACAATGAAATTGTGAAGGTCTACATGGCAGTTTCGTTTTTTTTAAATGTGTTAAGAAAAAAAAAATTGTATGTCCAATGTTAACACAACAGTCGAATGCAAAATTGTACCGATTCGCAGTTCTGA